GTCCACTTTGGGGCCTGACAAGTCAAGATCAGCTTTGGGTAGGGTTACATCCACATCAGGAGCTTCTGCTTTGATGCCTGGTATTCCAAATTTGGGCATCTTAAACTTAGGCATTTTGAGTTTGCCTTCAGGGCCATGAAGATCAACCTCTGGTGCACCAACATCCATCTTGGGGCCTTTGATGTCAACTTCAGGGCCTTTCAAATCTCCTTCCAGGCTTGGTACAGAAACATTCAGGTCTCCTTTTAATTTAGGTCCTTTCAAATTTAATTCCACATCAGGCATAGAGACCTTAGGGGAGGAAATATTCAACGACGGCATTTTAAATTTAGTACCTTTTGCTTTTCCTTGGATATCCACATCTGGACTCTGAACACCCCCTTTTGGTCTTGAGATATCGACATCTGGTTTCTTAACCTTCACATCAACTTCAGGTGTATGAAGTTTGGGGCCAGAAAAATTGAACTTGGGAAGTTTAAATCTTGATTTCTTTGGTTTTGCTTCAATGTCTACTTTTGGTGCCTCCAGTTCAACATCAGGTCCTTTCAATGCAATATCAGGTCCTTTAATGTCACCTCCTACATCTCCTTTAAGTTTTGGACCTTTCAAATTCAAATCAATATCTGGCATTGAAATTTGGGGGACATTAAAATGCATTTCTGGCATCTTCACTTTGGGACCTTTAAATTTTCCTTCTGGGTGTTCGATTTGCAGATCAGGTGTTTCAATATCTAGTTTGGGACCAGATATATCCACTTCTCCCTTGGGTATGGTCACATCCACTGAAGGACCGTCTCCTTTAAATCCAGGCATTCCAAACTTGGGCATTTTAAATTTGGGCAGCTTGATTTTACCTTCTGGACCATGCAAGTCAACATCAGGGATGTCAATGTCCACTTTGGGGCCTTGAATGTCCACATCAGGGGCTTCAACCTTTGGCAATGCAACATCCACATCTCCTCTCACTTTGGGACCTCGCACATTCAAATCAAAATCTGGCATGGAAATTTTGGGAGCTTTGACATTCATCTCTGGCATCTTAAATTTGGGTCCTTTCAACTTCCCTTCAGGTCCTTCAAGATCAACTTCTGGAACATCAACGTCTAGTTTGGGCCCTTTGATGTCAAGGGCAGGGCCCTTCAGATCACCCTCTAAGCTCGGTACTGAGACATCCACATCTCCTTTCACTTTGGGTCCTTTCAAGTTAAAGTCAAAATCTGGCATGGAGATTTTGGGAGCTTTGATGTGCATTTCAGGCATCTTAAACTTCGGACCTTTCCACTTTCCTTCAGGACCTTCAATGTCTACATCAGGTGCATCAATATCCACCCTGGGACCCTTGATATCCACATCTGGACCTTTCAGGTCACCTTCCAGTTTGGGAACAGAAACATCAACATCTCCCTTCAGTTTTGGACCTTTGAGGTTCAAGTCTATATCTGGCATGGAGATCTTTGGAGCTTTGATGTGCATTTCAGGCATCTTAAATTTAGGACCTTTTATCTTTCCCTCTGGTACTTCCACACTTATATCAGGGTCNTCTGGGCCTTCCCCTTTGAAGCCGGGCATGCCAAACCTGGGCATCTTGAATTTTGGCATCTTCAGCTTTCCTTCTGGTCCATGAAGTTCAATGTCAGGTGCATCAATGTCCACTTTGGGACCTTTGATATCCACATCTGGACCTTTTAGGCCACCTTCCAATTTTGGGACAGAAACATCCACATCTCCCTTCAGTTTTGGACCTTTGAGGTTCAGATCAATATCAGGCATTGAGATCTTTGGTGTCTTGAAGTGCATTTCAGGCATCTTAAACTTGGGACCTTTCACTTTTCCTTCTGGGCCTTCAATGTCCATACATGGTGCTTCAATATCTACTTTTGGGACAGAAACATCAAGGTCTGCTTTGGGGAAGCTTACATCCACATCTGGGCCTTCCCCTTTGAAGCTGGGCATGCCAAATTTGGGCATATTGAATTTTGGCATCTTCAGCTTTCCTTCTGGTCCATGAAGTTCAACATCAGGTGCATCCATGTCCACTTTGGGACCTTTGATATCCACATCTGGCCCTTTTAGGTCACCTTCCAATTTTGGGACAGAAACATCCACATCTCCCTTCAGTTTTGGACCTTTGAGGTTCAGATCAATATCAGGCATTGAGATCTTTGGTGTCTTGAAGTGCATTTCAGGCATCTTAAACCTGGGACCTTTCACTTTTCCTTCTGGGCCTTCAATGTCCAGATTTGGTGCTTCAATGTCTACTTTGGGGAGAGAAACATCAAGGTCTGCTTTGGGGAGGCTTACATCCACATCAGGGCCTTCCCCTTTGAATCTGGGCATGCCAAATTTGGGCATTCTGAATTTTGGCATCTTCAATTTTCCTTCTGGTCCATGAAGTTCAACATCAGGTGCATCAATGTCCACTTTGGGACCTTTGATATCCACATCTGGTCCTTTTAGGTCACCTTCCAGCTTTGGAACAGACATATCCACATCTCCCTTTAGTTTTGGACCTTTGAGGTTCAGATCAATATCAGGCATTGAGATTTTTGGTGTCTTGATGTGCATTTCAGGCATCTTAAACTTGGGACCTTTCACTTTTCCTTCTGGGCCTTCAATGTCCAAGCTTGGTGCGTCAATGTCTACTTTGGGAAGAGAAACATCAAGGTCTGCTTTGGGGAGGTTTACATCCACATCTGGACCTTCCCCTTTGAAGCTGGGCATGCCAAATTTGGGCATTTTGAATTTTGGCATCTTCAGCTTTCCTTCTGGTCCATGAAGTTCAACATCAGGTGCATCAATATCCAGTTTCGGACCTTTGATATCCACATCTGGACCTTTTAGGTCACCTTGCAGCTTTGGGATAGACATATCAACATCTCCCTTCAGTTTTGGACCTTTGACGTTTAGGTCTACATCTGGCATGGAGAACTTTGGAGCTTTAATGTGCATTTCAGGCATCTTAAACCTTGGAGTTTTCCACTTTNGTGCATTTCAGGCATCTTAAATTTGGGACCTTTCACTTTTCCTTCTGGGCCTTCAATGTCCAAGCTTGGTGCGTCAATGTCTACTTTGGGAAGAGAAACATCAAGGTCTGCTTTGGGGAGGTTTACATCCACATCTGGACCTTCCCCTTTGAAGCTGGGCATGCCAAATTTGGGCATTTTGAATTTTGGCATCTTCAGCTTTCCTTCTGGTCCATGAAGTTCAATATCAGGTGCATCAATATCCAGTTTTGGACCTTTGATATCCACATCTGGACCTTTTAGGTCACCTTGCAGCTTTGGGATAGACATATCAACATCTCCCTTCAGTTTTGGACCTTTGACGTTTAGGTCTACATCTGGCATGGAGAACTTTGGAGCTTTAATGTGCATTTCAGGCATCTTAAACCTTGGAGTTTTCCACTTTCCTTCAGGACCTTGAATTTCTATATCTGGTGCATCTATATCCAATTTGGGACCTTTGATATCGACATCTGGCCCTTTCAGGTCACCTTCCAACTTTGGAACAGAAACATCAACATCTCCCTTCAGCTTTGGACCTTTGAGGTTCAAATCGACATCTGGCATGGAGATCTTTGGAGCTTTAATGTGCATTTCAGGCATCTTAAATTTGGGACCTTTCATTTTTCCTTCTGGGGCTTCAATGTCTAAACCTGGCCCTTCAAGTTCAATTTTTGGACCAGAAACATCAAGATCTCCTTTAGGGAGGCTTACATCCACATCTGGACCTTCCCCTTTGAAGCTGGGCATGCCAAATTTGGGCATTTTGAATTTTGGCATCTTCAGTTTTCCTTCTGGTCCATGAAGTTCAACATCAGGTGCATCAATGTCCAGTTTGGGACCTTTGATATCCACATCTGGCCCTTTTAGGTCTCCTTCCAGCTTTGGAACCAAAACATCAACATCTCCCTTCAGCTTTGGACCTTTGAGGTTCAAATCGACATCTGGCATGGAGATCTTTGGAGCTTTGATGTGCATTTCAGGCATCTTAAATTTGGGACCTTTCACCTTTCCTTCTGGGCCATCAATGTCCAAATTTGGTCCTTCGATTTCAATTTTTGGACCAGAAACATCAAGATCTCCTTTAGGAAGGCTTACATCCACGTCTGGACCTTCCCCTTTGAAGCTTGGCATGCCAAATTTGGGCATTCTGAATTTTGGCATCTTCAGTTTTCCTTCTGGTCCATGAAGTTCAACATCAGGTGCATCCATGTCCACTTTGGGACCTTTGATATCCACATCTGGCCCTTTTAGGTCACCTTCCAATTTTGGGACAGAAACATCCACATCTCCCTTCAGTTTTGGACCTTTGAGATTCAGATCAATATCAGGCATTGAGATCTTTGGTGTCTTGAAGTGCATTTCAGGCATCTTAAACTTGGGACCTTTCACTTTTCCTTCTGGGCCTTCAATGTCCATACATGGTGCTTCAATATCTACTTTTGGGACAGAAACATCAAGGTCTGCTTTGGGGAAGCTTACATCCACATCTGGGCCTTCCCCTTTGAAGCTGGGCATGCCAAATTTGGGCATTTTGAATTTTGGCATCTTCAACTTTCCTTCTGGTCCATGAAGTTCAACATCAGGTGCATCAATGTCCAGTTTGGGACCTCTGATATCCACATCTGGCCCTTTTAAGTTACCTTCCAGCTTTGGGACAGACACATCCACATCTCCCTTCAATTTTGGACCTTTGAGGTTCAAATCCACATCTGGCATTGAGATCTTTGGAGCTCTGATATGCATTTCAGGCATCTTGAACTTCGTCCCTTTTAATTTTCCTTCTGGATATTCCAAGCTAATGTCTGGTGATTCCACATCCAGTTTAGGAGACTTGATATCTATCTGAGGTCCTTCAAGATTGCCTCCAATATTTGGTACAGTTACATCCATCTGTCCTCTTGCTCCAGGTCCTTTGATGTTCAAGTCTACATCAGGCATGGAGATCTTCGGTGCTTTGATATTCAGTTTTGGCATCTTAAATTTTGAACCTTTCAGCTTTCCTTCAGGACCTTCAACATCTAATTCTGGAACTTCCACATCTATCTTTGGACCTGAGATGTCAATTTCTCCCTTTGGCAAGTTTAGTTCTGCATCAGGACTTTCTAGTTTGGGGCTTGAAACAGTAAAAACTGGCATCTTCAATTTTGGCATTTTTAGTTTCCCCTCACTCTCGAAATCAGCGTCTGGACCACTTAGCTGTACTGTTGGCCTCTTGATATCAATGCTGGGTCCCTTCAATTCTCCTCCTAATGTTGGAACAGAAATATCTAAATCACTTTTCACTTTTGGACCTTTCAAATTCAAGTCAATATCTGGCATGGAGATTTTGGGTGTTTTGAAATGCATTTCAGGCATTTTAAACTTCGGACCTTTCAGTTTTCCTTCTGGGCCTTCAAGATCCATACTTGGCATATCAATATCTACTTTTGACCCCGAAACATCCAAATCTCCTTTGGGAAGGCTCACATTAAAATCAGTACCCTCTCCTTTCAACCCAGGTGTTCCAAATTTTGGTAGCTTCATTTTGGGCATCTTCAACTTGGCTTCTGGGCCTTCAAGTTCAATATCTGGAAGGTCTATATCCAATTTTGGTGTACCAAGATTCGGTCCTTTCAAATCTCCTTCTAGTTTTGGAACAGTTACATCCATTTCACCCTTCATTTTGGGGACTTTGAGATCTAGATCTACATCTGGCATGGAGATTTTGGGAGCTTTAATATTCAGTTTTGGCATCTTGAATTTGGATCCTTTAATTTTTCCTTCAGGGCCTTCCAGCTCTACATCAGGGACATCAACATCCAGTTTAGGGCCTTCAATATCAATGTGGGGTCCCTTAAGTTCACCTTCTATTTTTGGTCCAGAAATATCTGCATTCCCTTTCCATTTTGGCCCTTTTAGATTCAAATTAACATCTGGCATTGATATCTTTGGTGCATGAATATTAAACTCAGGCATCTTAAATTTGGATCCTTTTAGTTTTCCTTCTGGGCCTTCAATGTCCAAACTTGGTACTTCTACATCAACTGTTGGAACGGAAACATCAAGCTCTGCTTTGGGCAGATTTAAATCCATATCAGGACCTTCTCCTTTGAAGCTGGGTATTCCAAACTTAGGCATTTTGAATTTTGGCATCTTCAGTTTCCCTTCTGGTCCATGTAGATCAACATCTGGAGCTTCAATATCTAGTTTTGGACTTTTGATATCAATTTCTGGACCTTTTATGTCAGCTTCTAATTTTGGAATACAAACATCTCCTGTGAGTTTGGGCCCCTTTAGATTCAAATCAGTGTCTGGCATGGAGATTTTAGGACCTTTAATATGCATTTCTGGCATCTTGACTTTGGGACCTTTAATTTTGCCTTCTGGTGCTTCAATGTCCAATCTTGGGGCTGCAATAGCTACTTTAGGACCAGAGAAGTCAAGGCTGCCCTGGGAAAGATTGATGTCGACATCAGGAACTTCACCTTTCAAGCTGGGCATACCAAATTTAGGCATTTTCAATTTGGGCATTTTAAGTTCAGGCCCATGAAGGTCAACATCTGGTGCTACAATGTCCACAGCTGGGCTCTTCAGTTCTCCTTTCACTCTTGGCATGGAAACACCCATGTCCCCCTTGACTTTTGGGCCTTTCAAATTTAGGTCAATGTCTGGAATGGAGATTTGTGGAGTTTTGATATGAGGCCCTTTCAGTTGACCTGAAGGACCTCTGAGGCCAATGTCAGGAGCAGCAATGTCCACTTTGGGGCCTTTGATGTCTATTTGTGGGCCTTTCAGGTCACCTACTTTTGGCACAGAAACATCCATATCACCCTTTAATGATGGCCCTTTCAGGTTCAGATCAAAATCTGGAACTGAAACCTTTGGTACCTCAATGTCCAATCCAGGAGCTTTTATATCTACTTTAGGACCTGAGATGTCAAGACTGCCCTGGGGAAGACTGATGTCGACACCAGGAATGTCAGGTTTCAAGCTGGGCACACCAAATTTAGGCATTTTCAATTTGGGCATTTTGAGTTCAGGCCCATGAAGGTCAACATCTGGTGCTACAATGTCTACTTTAGGAGCCTTGATGTCCACTCCCTTAAGTTCTCCTTCCATTCTTGGTATGGAAACACCCATGTCCCCCTTGACTTTGGGGCCTTTCAAATTTAGGTCAATGTCTGGAATGGAGATTTGTGGAGTTTTGATATGAGGCCCTTTCAGTTGACCTGAAGGACCTTTGACGCCAATGTCAGGAGCAGCAATGTCCACTTTGGGGCCTTTGAGGTCTATCTGTGGGCCCTTCAGGCTGCCTTCTAGTTTGGGCACAGAAACATCCATGTCACCTTTTAATGATGGCCCTTTCAGGCTCAGGTCAACATCTGGAACTGAAACCTTTGGTGCCTCCACATGTAGTCCTGGCATCTTGACTTTGGGACCTTTAATTTTGCCTTTTGGTGCTTCAATGTCCAATCTTGGGGCTGCAATATCTACTTTAGGAGCAGAGAAGTCAAGGCTGCCCTGAGGAAGATTGATGTCCACAACAGGAACTTCACCTTTCAAGCTGGGCACACCAAATTTAGGCATTTTCAATTTGGGCATTTTGAGTTCAGGTCCATGAAGGTCAACATCTGGTGCTACAATGTCTACTTTAGGAGCCTTGATGTCCACAGTTGGGCCCTTCAGTTCTCCTTCCACTCTTGGCATGGAAACACCCATGTCCCCCTTGACTTTTGGGCCTTTCAAATTTAGGTCAATATCTGGAATGGAGATTTGAGGGGTTTTGATATGAGGCCCTTTCAGTTGACCTGAAGGTCCTCTGAGGCCAATGTCAGGAGCAGCAATGTCCACTTTGGGGCCTTTGAGGTCTATCTGTGGGCCCTTCAGGCCACCTTCTAGTTTGGGCACAGAAGCATCCATGTCACCTTTTAATGATGGCCCTTTTAGGCTCAGGTCGAAATCTGGAACTGAAATCTTTGGTGCCTCAGTGTCCAATCCAGGAGCTTTTATATCTACATTAGGACCTGAGATGTCAAGACTGCCCTGGGGAAGATTGATGTCCACAACAGGAACTTCACCTTTCAGGCTGGGCATGCCAAATTTAGGCATTTTCAATTTGTGCATTTTGAGTTCAGGCCCATGAAGGTCAACATCTGGTGCTACAATGTCTACTTTAGGAGCCTTGATGTCCACAGTTGGGCCCTTCAGTTCTCCTTCCACTCTTGGCATGGAAACACCCATGTCTCCTTTGACTTTTGGGCCTTTCAAATTTAGGTCAATGTCTGGAATGGAGATTTGTGGAGTTTTGATATGAGGCCCTTTCAGTTGACCTGAAGGACCTTTGACGCCAATGTCAGGAGCAGCAATGTCTACTTTGGGGCCTTTGAGGTCTATCTGTGGGCCCTTCAGACTGCCTTCTAGTTTGGGCACAGAAACATCCATGTCACCTTTTAATGATGGCCCTTTCAGGCTCAGGTCAACATCTGGAACTGAAATCTTTGGTGCCTCCACATGTAATCCTGGCATCTTGACTTTGGGACCTTTAATTTTGGCTTCTGGTGCTTCAATGTCCAATCCTGGTACGCCAACATCCATCTTAGGATATGAAATATCAAGACGTCCCTTGGGAAGACTGATGTCTAGATCAGGAACTTCACCTTTCAAGCTGGGGACACCAAATTTAGGCATTTTCAATTTGGGCATTTTGAGTTCAGGCCCATGAAGATCAACATCTGGAGCTGCAGTGTCTATTTTAGGACCCTTGATGTCCACAATTGGGCTTTTCAGTTCTCCTTCCACTCTTGGCATGGAAACACCCATGTCTCCCTTAACTTTGTGGCCCTTCAAATTTAGGTCAATGTCTGGAATGGAGATTTGTGGAGTTTTGATATGAGGCCCTTTCAGTTGATCAGAAGAACTCTTGATGCCAACGCCACGAGCAGCAATGTCCACTTTGGGGCCCTTGATGTCAATCTGTGGGCCCTTCAGGTCACCTTCCAATTTGGGCATAGAAACATCCACATCACCCTTTAATGATGTCCCTTTTAGTCTCACGTCAACGTCTGGCCCAGCCACTTTGATTGGGGTTGTTTTCACTGAGGGCATTGAGATATTTGGACTTTTTAATGGTCCACCAAGGTCAACCTTGGGGCCCTCAATACTCATACTAGGCCCTTTCAAGTCCCCTTCAATCTTTGGCCCTGAAATATATATAGCTCCTTTTCCTTTGGGACTTTTAAGGTTCAAGTCAATATCTGACATAGAGATTTTGGGTGTCTGTCCACTAATCTCAGTCCCTCCTTTTGGAACATTGATACCTGCTGCAGGGCCTGAAACAGAAAATTTAGGAATATCCATGTGGGGTATTTTAAATTTTGCTTCACTCTCTTCAAGTCCAATGTCTGGAGCCTCAAAATCTACCTTTGATTTCACCCCACCTTTCAAATCCAGTCCTTTTACACCCATATCCAACTCTGGTTTTGGTATTCCTCTGCTTGTTATTGCGTCTTTGGGGCCCTCTGGAAACCCTCCTGGGCCTCTGATTGTCACAGATGGAGCTGTTGCAGTCATTTGAGGAACGTCAATGTCAGCACCTGGAGATGATATTCCAAATTTGGGCATTCTCATTGCAGGGAATGTAAGTTTTCCTTTGTTTTCATCACCGAGACCTGGACTTGTCATTTTGCCTTCAATGCCTCCCCATTCCCCTTTCATTTTAGGACCTTTGATATCGAATGGCAGCCGTTCTCCTGTTTTCCCATTGATTTCAGGGCTGGTAAAGTCTGTCTGACCTCTCAGATCTATGCCCTTGACATTGGAGACTTGGATATCAGTTTTCCCCACCTTTGGCTGCCCCAAAAGGGTCTCGGGAACACCTGCCTCCAATGTTCTGGAAGGTAAGTCAATAGTTGGTCCAGAATATGTCACATCATAAAATTTCCCTCCTTCGTGGGAGACTTTTCCATAGCTGGGCCTCCCAGGCAAATCCACGTGTGGGATCTTGATGACAGTTTTCCCAGGCTCTGATTCAATTCCAACTTTAGAAATCTGGGTAAGTTCATGTTTAGGAATTTTGATCTTAAACTCAGGACTGCTGATGTCAATCTCTTTGGTACCTTCATGGCCGGTAACATCGACAGTGTAAGCTGTGACTCTTTTGGTGACTGTGATGGTCCTGCTTTGAGTTCCTGCATGCTCAACTTCTATGCCATCTTCTGACTTAAGGCGAGGTTTAATTTTTGTGGTGTAAATCCGCTGGTACTCTTCATCATCTCCACTCTGAAAGGGAAAGGAATTGTGTCATCAAACTTTATGCTCAAACTGCTGCACTTCTACAGGCAATCACTGAGAGCAGTCTGGATCAAAACAACATCCCAAAATGTCTGCAGTGACAAGTCTCATCATTTCACTTCAAATATTCTTAGTTAGAATATAGAATAATAGAGTTGGAAGGGACCCTATTGGTCCCTATAAAATAATAGGGTTGGAATGAAAAGTTGGGAGGTCTTCTAGTCCAATCCCTTGCTCAAGCAGGAGACCCTGCACTATTCTGGACCTTGACTCCGTTTACTGAGCCCTTCATAGAGATGGTCCATCTTCGGCCTCCCTTCCCCAATTTGGTTTCCTCTCTCCGACTGTGAAATTGTACCAGACTAACTTTTTCAACCACTTTTTGCAGGAACTGGATCAAACTGGGTCTCTAAGGCTCTTGCTAATTGTACCCTGGGTGCAATAACGGAATAACAGAATTGGAGGGGACCCTATACCAGTGATGGAGAACCTTTTAGAGACCAAGTGCCCAAAAACTGGCCCCGCCCCTGCCCCGCCCCCACCCCACCTGCCTGCAGGGCCACTCACCACCTTCAGGGCCCGCCGCAGATCGCCTAGGCAGCCCAGCAGCGCTATGGCGGCCACACCCTCTGCCCACGCCCCACAGCATCAACTGCGTGCGATGGGGCGTGAGGGCAGGAGTCTTGTCTACGCTGCCTGGCTGCCATGTCTTTGGCTGCGCTGCTCCGTGTGGGCCATGCTCAGGGGCGATTCTCCTCCAGGGGGGCTGCTGGAGAGGAGGGGGTCATGGGGAGAGGCAAGGCTGGGGCAACAGCATGTGTACCCACAGAGAGGGCTCCGAGTGCCGCCTCTGGCACCAGTGCCATAGATTCGCCACCACTGCCCTATACATTCCAGACAAGTAGCTGTCCTGTCTCTTCTTAAAAACTTCCAGTGTTGGAGCACCCACAACTTCTGAAGGCCAGCTTGTTCCACTGGTTAATTGTTCTCATTGTCAGGAAATTTCTCCTTAGTTCTAGTTCAATCTCAAACTTGAGCACCCTTGACCTAGAATTAAGCAAGGCACCCAAGATCAATAGGGAAACCGGGATTGTTGTTTTCCTTAAATATTCCACACATAGACATTTCTTCCATTCTTCTTCTTTTCACACATACTCACCAAAACAACTTCTGGGCTCCTTGGAGCAAACACGTCGTAGGAGCCAGCCTGCCCTGGCAACGGGGAGCGGTCTCCTTTCCTCTGTAGCCGCAGGCCCACTGTGTGATGACCCACATTTTTAAGGAGCTCCGTGACCTCCCTTGAGGGCACATTGTCAAAATAGATGGTGGCGCTCACAATCTGGTCTCCTGCAGAAAGAGAAAAGCGAGGATTCTGTTGTTAGATCATTCGGAAGAGCTCAAAAAGACATCAAGGAAGGGTGGAAAGGATAACAGAATAACAGAGTTGGAAGGGATCTTTGGGGTCTTCTAGTCAGCTCAAGGCAGGAGGCCTTACTCCATCCCAGACAATGGATGTCCAATCTCTTCTTGAAGACCTCCAACAATGGAGCACCCACAATTTCTGGAGGCAAGTAGTTCCACTGATTAATTGTTCTCACTGTCAGAAACTTTCTCCTTAGTTCCAGGTTGCTTCTCTCTTTGATAAGTTTACACTTTTTGCCCCGCCCACAGGTGCTTTGGAGAATAGGCTGACTCTTCCCTGTGACAACCTTTCAAGTATTGGAAGATGCTATCATGTCACCCCTAGTCCTTCTTTTCATTAAACTAGACATACCCAATTCCTAGATGTTCTTCACCCCCTAATCAGCTTCCTTCTCTTCTCTGCACTCTTTCTAGAGTCTCAGCATCTTTTTTATATCGTGGCGATCAAATGAATGAAAGTAGTGCCACCACACAAGTGCCACCCCATTGGTAAATGTGTCCTTTCACACACATGGACAAAACAGACAGAATATAAAGCAGGGACCTTGGAAGTCTTCGAGTTCAACCCTCTGTAGAAGACTTTGTTGCATCCAGGGCAAATGGATATCCAATCTTTTTTTGAAGACCCACAACTACAGAAGGCAAACTTTGACTAATCATTCTCATTGTCAGGAAATTCCTCCTTAGTTCCAGTTGAATCTCCCTCTAACAAACGTCCACCCGTTGCTTCTTGTCGTGCCTTCAGAAGTCCTCTAAGTTCTAACCATCCTTGATTGGGAATGATAGAGGTTCTAAACTAACCTATCTACAAGAACGGAAGGAGTTGAATTGATCTGTGGCTATCTAAGGACATCCAACCTTTTTGATCACCACTTAATAAACATCCTTCATTTGCAATGAAGTGAAAAGTGAAAAGAAGGCCTAGGGCAGTGATGGCGAACCTTTTTAGAGACCGAGTGCCCAAACTGCAACCCAAAACCTACTTATGCATTGTCGAGTGCCAGGTGGGCGTGGCCCATTGGGTGGGTGTGGCTGCGGTGGTAACGGCAGACTAGGTGGGACTAAAATGTTCAATCAATCAATTCCAACTTTGCGAGATCTTTTTTTTCCCTGCGAGAAGTTGAAATTGATTGATTGATTGAACCTTTTTTTTTTTTTGCACACAGTGGTGGAGGCCTAAAGCAAAAAAGTTTTATAAAACCCAGCTGAAGGCCTAGGACTGGGGCGACAGTGCGCGTGCCCACAGAGAGGGCTCTGCATGCCACCTGTGGCATGTGTGCCATAGGTTCGCCACCACGGGCCTAGGGGGTGACATGATAGCAGTCTTCCAGTATTTGAGGGGCTGCCACAAAGAAGAGGAAGGGGTCAAGCTATTCTCCAAAGCACCTGAAGGTAGGACAAGAAGCAACTAATGGAAACTAATCAAGGAGAGAAGCAACCTGGCATTAAGGAGAAATTTCCTGAGAACTATTAACCAGTGGAACAGCTTGCCTCCAGACGTTGTGGATGCTCCATCACTGGAGGCTTTTAAGAAGAGATTGGACATTTGTCCAAAATGGTATAGGGTCTTCTGCTTGTGCAAGCAGTTGGACCAGAACAGGGCTTTTCAACCAGTGGTACGGGTACCACCTGTGGTACATTGGCACCTGGCAGGTGATACGCGACCATCCTAGAAAAGTGGTAGCGGGGGAGGGGAATGAGCTGAACCGGTGGCAGCACCGCACAAGCCTGAGCGAGAGACGGCTGGAGCTGCAGGGCTGTCAGGGCTCAGCGGAAGCGCCAGGATCAGCACCAGGCTCCAGCCTTCTTCGGGGCTGTCAGGGCTCAGTGGAAGCATCAGGATCAGCGCCAGGCTCCAATTGGAGCTCGGCGCTGATCCTGGAGCTTCTGCTGAGCCCAGAAGAAGCGCCGATCAGCTGGAATGTTGCAGCCTTTCCAGGGTCTTGTGATTTACATTCAGATGCTTGGCAACCGATTCATATTTATGACGGTCACAATATCCCAGGTGCATGTGACGTGACCAAAACCTGCTGCAACCACCCAGCAGACGGGGGGAATAAAAACCAAACACCCCCCCACCCCACCCCCACTGCCAATCCTCAACAGAAATGCTCACAACAATGGAAATCTCGGACAGGAGGAAGAGCGCCACCGGGCGGGCAGGCAGGTGTCTTGCTCGGCTGTGGCTTGGGAGGGGGGCACTTTTTTCAGTGCCATTGTAACTTCGAACAGTCACTAAGCGAACTGTTGTAAGTCGAGGACTACCTGTACTTTATCACTTTTTTCCTTTTGGGGGGGGGTCACCAGGTTTTTGACACCTTGCTAGGCGACTGGTGGTCCTCGGATGTTGCCATATCCCAAAAGTGGTACAATGGGTGAAAAGGTTGAAAAGCCCTGGATTTAGATGACCTCCAAGATCCCTTCCAACTCAGTTATTCCTTTATTCTGCAGAGGCCCCAAGATTGTTTCACTAACCTTCCTGCACAATTCCTGTCTTGGCGACCGGCGAGTCCTGTTGGATCTGCTTCACGAAGACACCTTCATCCGTCTCTTTGATGGTAATACCATGAGAGCTGTCTTGCCAATCAGGGAGTAAGATCTCCCGGGTACTGTCTTCTTCCTTCTCCATCTTAGGCACAAAAACAAGCAGCTTAAAGATTAAAATAAGGAGAAATCCTATTCAAGATATATTCAAATGGCACAGTTCTGAAAACTGATCTGATGCTAGAAGTGTAATGGTTTATATGTAGAATATTTTTATTTTTTGGTCCTATTTTCTCACCAAGGGTCTCATGTGGATGCCAGTTAAAGTCGCAACTGGGCCTAAGTGACCTCACAATTCAATTCACGCAATCTATTAAATCCAGGGGAACAAAACATAGATATCTGTGTTCACGTCATAAAATATATCACAAAACAAACCACAGGTAGTCCTTGACTGACCATAACTGGAACCAGAAGTTCCATTGCTAAGCAATGTGGTTGTTAAGTGAGCCATCTCGTGATCATGGCTGATTTTATGACCTTTTTGGCCACAATTGTTAAGCAAATCACTGCAGTTATTAAGTGAATCACGCAGCCATTAAGAGAATCTGGCTTCCCTCATTGACTTGGCTTGTTGAAGCTGGCTGGATAGGTCACAAAGGGCGATCATGTGACCTTGGGATACTGCAACCATCATTTATTTTTATTTTATTTTTATTTATATTTGAATTTATATCCCGCCCTTCTCCCGTAGGACTCAGGGCGGCTGACAATCTATTTAAAATACATACAAAACAATACAAATTTAAAATTAATTAAAAGGAATATTAATAAATATCATAAATACAGGTAGTCCTCAACTTATGATGTCGATTGAGCCCAAAATTTATGTTGCTAAGTGAAAAATTTGTTGAGTGAGTTTTGCCCCATTTTACCACTTTTCTTGCCACAGTTTTTAAGTGAGTTGTTAAATTAGTAACATGGTAAGTGAATCTAGCTTCCTCCCATTGACTTTACTTGTCAAAAGGTCACAAAAGGGGACCACGTGACCCCGAGATGCTGCAACTGTCATAAATGCGAATCAGTTGTCAAGCATCCGAATGTAAATCACGTGACCATGGGGATATTACAACGATCATAAGTGTGAAAAATGGTAAATCACTTTTTTCAGTGCCGTTGTAACTTCAGTCACTAAGTGAACTGTTATAAGTTGAGGACTACCTATATATATGCCGATTCCCAAGCCCCCAAATTCTGATTGTGTGACCGTAGTTGAAGTCCACGAGTCATAAAAGAGCCAAGGTTGACTACCCCTGGTCAAGATGATAGATTTGAGCCGTGTTCCTCAACTTGACCACTTTAAGAAGCACAACTCACAACTCACTCCTTGCTTAGCAACCAGAATTCTGTTCCTAATTGTGGTCATGTCAAGGACTGTCTCTACTGCTGTTTCTAAAAGGTAGAGGGAAATATGAGTCGCGGAACAGTCTCCAACCTTGCTAGGACTTTGCTCCAGGTAGGATCCGCCCCAGGAATTCAGTACTTCTCACTTGCCAATCCTTTTGGTAATATGTTCGTTCCAACTTCACAACCTAGGAAAGAGATTAAAACTTCCGGTGAATAAAATCACTCTCAATGTTTCTGAAACCTTGAATGCCAGAATTTTACCAAGCACACAACTTGGCAGCCTGTTGTGCCAGCTTTATTTTACTATTTTACTGTACCTTTACTATTTTATTATTTTTTTTTTATGCTGCCAATACTCTGTAAGGTGACAGCTTTTATTTTCTAACCCCTTCTACATCTTTCTTTTTCTATTAAAAGCAGAAATATTTCCTCCGTATCTACACAAGTTTTAAGTGTACCAATATTTCCTCATGATATCTCTATGGACAATCTGACAGGGTTTTTTTTTCAAGATTGTAAAAAGACACAAAATGTTTTTATAAGTGGCAGCTTTTTGCAATCAGCTTCACAAAGCTGATTGTGTGGTTCAAAAGCTTGCCCATTCCTCGCTAAAACCAGCTGGCTGCACAAAAGACACTTTCAATTCCCAATGGATCCGTTGGCGTTGGCCTTCTCCCCAAGAAAATACTTCTACAGCTAATGTTTACATGTCACCAGAATGAGTTTGTCAGCACAAATCTATTTCATCCCATGGTCTCCATTCAGAAAACACCCCCTATATATTCATACCAAGCAATTATTAATCGTTAATATCTGATAAGGATTCTGAAGTTCACATGTCATCGTGAACACGCGCTTACTCTTTGCATCAATTCTTAGGGTCAAAAAAGCCGCATCAGATTGACGTATGCTGTATAGAAAAGGAAGGATTTGGGGCTATAGGATAGATAGCTTCAGCTGATTTTATTACAATACAGTTTCCAATACAGGTAGTCCTCAGCTTACGACCAGAACCGAGTCCAAAATTTCTGTTGATAAGCGAGACAGTTCTTAAGTGAGTTTTGCTCCAGTTTATGACCTTTCTTGCCACAGTTGTTAAGTGAATCACTGCAGCTGTTAAGTTAGTATAACACAGTTGTTAAGTGAATCTGGCTTCCCCATTTGCTTGTCAGAAGGTTGCAAAAGGGAATCACATAACCACGGGACATTGTGACCGTCATAAATGCGAGTCAGTTGCCAAGCATCAGAACTTTGATCACGTGACCACGGGGATGCTGTGATGGTCATAAATGTGAAAAACAGTCCTAGGTCACTCTTTTTAGTGCTTTATAACTTTGAACAGTCACTAAACAAACTGTTGTAAGTCGAGGACCACGTATACTATCGATGAAGGTCAAAATGGATTTTTTCCCCTACCTAGGCAACACACAGGTAAATTTGTTCTCTCAAGTTCAGTGTTTTGCAACCTTTGGAGCTTGAAGACTTCAACTCCCAGAATTCCCCAGGCAGCCATGTTGAAGACACTTAAAACCTGAGAGACTGAATTAGTATAAGTCACAAAACACACGTGTTAAACTAAGTTTAGTTTTCAGGCTTAGTATGTGGTGTGAACCCCCTTGGTTTGGTTACTTGACGATTCAATATACGATGCAAAACTGGAAAGTGGAATAATTCAGAAGGTAATTTAAGCATGTGCTGTGAAGGGACTCAGGTTATTTCTCTGTTTACTCTCTAACCAATCTGAAGCAAAGTTTTTTTTCCTGAACCCAAATCTCTAAATCCCTTCCTTGCAGAAAAACATGTACCAATCAAACAATAATATTTGCTCATTTCCAGCAGCGGACTCTGGAGCCAAACCAGGAATATTTTTACTGCTAGTTGCCGAGATCTCATGTTTTCGTTGCTATTACTATAATGCCAGGATTACAGAACAGCTTTCCCTGGCTTGCTGCAAAATTGATAAATCACATTTTTAGCTTCCATAGGTTGAAACCTAAATTCGCTCCAAGAAGGATGTTTACACAACCCGTTGCTCCCCAGGGAAGAAAAAAAACCTAACCCAGTTTAAAACTCACCAAACTCACGCTATTGTGAGAATGTGGCCCCTGGATCTTAAATGAGACGGTTTATAGCATGTTGTGTGAACCGAGCTGAGTTAACATGGCTTGCAAGACACCAGAAAATTTGCATGGGGAAAAAAAACTGAAGCCCCCTCCTCTTTGGGTGCTGGGTGGTTTTCTAAATTGGTTGGGCAGTCACTGTTCCCAGAGGATGAGCATGCAAAGTATGGTACAAATGCCTGAGGTATGTCAAGCTTGTATTCCTCCTGCCTCTGCAGAACCGACTGTTAGAACAAGCAACTTTAATGACTGAAGAATTGATGGCAGCAATTCACATCTTGTCCAAAGCTGTGGTTGCTTTAAACCACTCTGATTGGTTTCAATAAGCCACAATTGGCTGGAAAAGCATCCAAACACTCAACCATCGCCATGGTTTATCTACCACCATGGTTGGCTTTCCAACTGCCAATCTCCATACAAGTAGTCCTTGTTTAGCGACCGCCTCGTTTAGTGACCATCTTTGCAGCCACGACAGGGATGAAAAAGTAATTTTGCAACGGATCCTCATGTTTATGATCTTTGCCGATCTGCAGGGCAGCAGAAAGCTGAAGTCAGATCCTAAACAAGGCTGTAATTTCACTTAGTGACTACTTTGCTTAACAACCGAGTTGTTGGTCCAAATGATGGTCGCTAAATGAGGACAACCTGAATGACTTCAACCAGAGGGACAAACAGGAGAAGAGGAAGAGTGATACCATCCTTTTGCAGGCAAATACTCTTAAATACAGGTAATGCTGGAACTCATGACCAGTTGCTTTGCGTCCATTTAAAGTTATGATGGACCTTCCCAGGGCTACCTCGGACCTGGATTCAAAATTCTGACAGCCATTACATTTTGGATGCTTGGCAACTGGCCCCCATTTATGGCTGTTTGAGCATCCTGTGGTCACGTAGCCATGTTTTGCCCAAAACTGACTTTGAAATCCAGTTTCCAGCATAAACCACAGAGGACAACAGATTTGTTTCATGAATGCAATTCGTTTCATGAATGCAACTGCTACATTCGCTTAATGACTACTGTAAAAAAAAGTTGTATAATTTGGCATGCTCACATGCTCCCCCGCTTAATGGCCACCACAACCTACGATCATAATTCCAGGCTCAAGTACGGTTGTACGTTGAGGATGTCCCATATAAGTTTTTTTTTTACCTTGCAGGCAGCGCAAGGAATATTTGGTAATCTTGCAGCCCACCACAAATCGGCTTAGTTCGGCCTTTCGGATCTGAGGGTCCTCAAGATGGGCAAGTTTCATCTACCACAATCCTCCCCAATGGCTGTGCTGGCTGAGGAATCACTGCAGTTGTTAAGTTAGTGAATCTGGCTTCCCCACCGACTTTGCTTGTCAAAAGGTCTCAAAAGGTGATTTCACGGCCCTGCAACCGTCATAAATATGAGCCAGTTGCCAAGCTCCACGTGACCATGGAGATGCTGCAATGGTCATAAGTGTGAAAAACGTACACTTTTTTCAGTGAGTGCCGTTGTAACTTTGAATAGTTGTTACTATTGTAAGTCGAGGACTAACCTGTAAGGTGCAAGTAAGTTGACAACCCACCCAAACGATCCGACTACCATTTTGGAGAGTCTTAAAGTTTGGCAACTTTAAGACTTGGGGACTTCAACGCCCAGAATTCCCCAGCCAGTTGCCAAGGCTGGACATCCCTGTTTTAGTGGCTGCCACCAGGGGGCAGCGCTGTGCTCAGCATCTATGTTTTCCAGGCGCTGGCTGGCACTTCCCCAGCCGCCCAGCCCCACCTCGCCTGCTGTGCCAATTTCCTGAGTCTTCGAGAAAGTTTTCCACTTCCAAGCAGTCGGGGATCATGCGCAAGCCTGAAAGCTGATCAGCCCCCACCCAAAGAGGAGGAGGAGGAGGAGGAGGAGGAGGAGGAGGCAAGCCTTTGCAAA